AGGGGCCAAAACTGGTATGTGGGGTGGGGGATTCTGTCAAAATGGAAGTACTGATTTTGCACCTCTCCTCCCTGGTGCTTGGCCAGGCATGTCCAGGGGCCCCAGAGCACCTGGTGGCTTGCTGCCCAATGTCTGCTCCTCTCCACGCAGCACTGCCTGGTGTTTGGGGGGAAGCAGATGCAGGCCCAGGGCTCCCACTAAGATGCCCCTGGTCCTCCAGCCCCGCCCCCTGGTCCTCCAGCCCTGGCCCCTGGACTGGCCTTGGTCTCCCTCTGTTCTCAAGCTGCCTTTTCTTTCCAGTTGGAACCCAACCTTTTTGCTTGGGTTCCCCAGAGTCCCCTGACCCACCTGCTATGGAAAGAGGAGGGGGAGAAATGGACTCTCATCCTTCATCCCCGGAGACCTTGCTGTGTCCATCGTCCCCCAAGGCCAGGTCACCTAGAGTCACTTTAGACAAGCCCCTTCCTCCTCCTAGGCCAGAACCAGAAAGCTCAAAATAAATTGGTGAATACGAGGATCCTGGTAGCCTTCAGCCAAGAGGCTTTTTGTGCACCCCAAGCTTTCCCATACTCTCCCGGTTCCTGATGCTCTCACAGCCACACAAGCATCCTGCCATGAGGCATTTCCATACCAAAGTAGAAGTCTCAGGTGATCCCGTCTGCCTCTCAGTAAGTAACTTTAGGCTGTGGGGTGGGGGGATTGAACCCCGGGCCTCCCTCCTGCTGGGCCCTTGCAGGGGGCCTCCTCAGCCACGCCTTGCCTGTGGAAGTACTTAACCCCTGCACCTGGGATCCAGTGAGAAGAGCAGAGATAGGGAGATGGCAGCGTAGGAGCCCCACACAGCCTCCCCCCGTGGCCGGGAAGCTTCGGCTCGGCTCAGATCAGCGGGGCCGGCTGGTTGTTAGAAACTGCTGGGGTTCCAAGTGTCCCCCACAAAGCCTGGGTGGGAAACTTAATCCCCAAGGCAACAGTGTGGGGAGCTGGGGCCTGAGGATTCGGCCGTGAAGGGGGGTGAACACAGGGACGTGGTCACCATGGAAGCCGGGAGCTGAGCTGTGTCCGTCTCTCCTTCCTCACCGGATCTTCCCCCCAACTCCTGCCACCTGGCCTTCTGCTGTGGGGTGACACAGCAGGAGGCCCCTTGCCAGACACCCTGGCCTCTTGATCTCGCCTTCTCAACTTCTAGAACTGTAAGAAATAAATTTGTCTTTATAAACTAGCCAGTGTGTGGTGTCTTGTCAGAGGGGCACAAAGGGGACCAAGAGGGCACGTGGTGACGTGGTGGCTCCTCATGGTGTCACTGTGTCCTGTTCCTCTTTGCTATCTGCTAACAGCAGAGCTGGCTTTTGGTGCGTGGCCTGTACCGCCTCCCCGGGCCCCGTGGCTGGGTGACGGTGCTGGGCCACAGGCTTCCCTAGGGCGCCAGGCCACAAGAACTCTGTTGCCCACACCAGAACTCGCACCCCGGGCGGGAGCAGGACTTGGTGCCCACTTCCCAATGGGGTCACAGCCAGTGGGGCTGCGTGGGGTGGGAAGTCTCCGTCCCACCAAGGCCAGGGCTGCCAGCAGACAGGAACTAGAGAACCCCTCTTCTAGGCACGGGGCTGCCTCTGGCACCAGTCGGAACTGCACGGATGGTTCATCAGAATTAGGAAAGGATTTTCTTGGTTCCGGGAGTCGTAGCCATCTGGGAAGTGGACGAGTTTCTGGGGGCTGCCATAACAGAGCCCCACAGACTGGGCAGTTTAAACTACAGAAATCCATTCTCTACGGTTCTGGAGGCTGGAAATCTGAGACGAGTTGTGTCTGGTGGGCTCCTTCCAAGGTGTCTCTGCTTGGCTTACAGGTGACTTCTCCCTCTGTCCTCCTACACTCCTCCCCATGTGTCCCTACCCAAGTGGCCTCTTGTTGTAAGGACACTTGGACTAGGGCCATATTGGACAAGGGTCATCCGAATGACCAATTTTAACCTAATCACCTCTTGGAAGACCCTGCCTCTAAACACAGTCGCATTCTGAGGTCCTGGGGGTTGGGACCCCAACATATAAATGGGGGGTCACAGCAGGGATCTTCCTGGACACTCCACAATCACGCCTGAACGGTTCAATGGTGCCCTCTGAGCTGAGCTGCCAGCCCCAGGGAAGAGCCCACACACTGGGACTCGCTGCCCACAGGATGGCCCTGGAGGTCACCCAAGGGCGTGAGGCTGACGGCAGTTACTTCGCTGGCTTTCAGATAACACCGGAAGAGCCTGGGCAGAGCGCGAGTCAGCTGTTCCCAGTTCCTGGGGGCAGAGCCGGAGGAGATGAGTGTGAGCAGGAGGACTGGGGTCGGACACCAGAGCAGGAGGGGCAGGAGCCAGGCCTAGGACACAGGCTGCCGTCGGCCTGAGAGCCTGGTGAAGGCTGACTCTGATTCCCTGTCCTGGGTGCCTGGACCCTCAGGGGGCTCCCCGGGCAGGCGTAGAAGAAAAAGTGAGGGTGGTGGTGAGGCCATTGCTGTTGAAGCCGGCTCATGGCTCCCTAGAGATTCATAGACTTTTGTACATGTTTGAAATTTTCCATAACAGAAAGGCAGGAGAAGGAGAAGGAAAGGGAGGGAGAAGAGAAGCAAGAAAGAAGAAATGCTCTTAAGAGATTCTGATGCCTATCTGGGTCCTCAAACCTGTCTTGGCTAGGGGGAGGAGGTGTAGCTGGAGGGGGAGGAGGTGTAGCTGGAGGGGGAGTCTTACATGGTGTGTGCAGCGCCTCCTTGTGGTGATCAGGTGGCACTACGGACACAAAGGTGACCAGCTATCTGGGTGTGAATCACCCTGTCCCAGGCCTGACCTTGGAGGGGCAGGGAGGCCAGCCCGCCCAGCAGACTCTTAACCTTGGTATACCCCAGACTCCCTGCCAGTCCACCAAAGCCTGTGGTCCCTTGGGATAAAGACATAAAGTAGAGTGGGATTACAAAGCTAATCAATTACAGCCAAATACAATTCCTGAACTACAAAATAAAACCAAAATTGGTATAGAGCCTCGCAGGTGCCTCTTTTAGCTGGTCTAATAACAACTGTGATTTAAAAATAGTGCTGAGAACTAATGGTATTTGAGAGTCTGCAACAACTGCAATATGATATGAAAACATCTATAATGTTTCTTTCTTTCTTTCATATTTATTAATTTATTTACTTATTTAATTTTTGAAGCGAGGGCTCACTGTTGCCCAGGCTGAACCTAAACTCCTGGGCTCAAGCGATCCTCTTGCCTCAGCCTCCCAAGTAGCTGGAACTGCAGTCACCACCACGCCTAATGTCTATTGTGAATCCCAGGGACTGCTAAAACAAGAAACAAAACTCTCCTGAGAGGTGTCGCCTACATTCATAAATAAGGAAATGGTCGAATCCTGGGAGAAGCCAGTGAGAACAAGAATGTGCCGGGTCACCCTCCAGGGTAGCTGACCCGCCTATCTTCATAAGCTGGCTGCCCCATAGTCCCATCATTCATTCCACAAATACTTATGGAGGTCCTACCATATGTGCGGCAGACACTGCACAATGTAAACTGGCGAGTCCCTGCCCTTATCAATCATACATCCTGCAGGGACAGATAGTAAGCAGCAGCACACAAAAGACAGTCTGCCAACTCAACACTTAGGTAAGCATTTCCCATCGAGATAGCACATATAGTGTGTTGTATGAATGAGTGACATACAATTCTATTTATTGAAAGTTTTCTTTTAATCCCATTTGCCTTAAAGCCAGGATTTTCTGCCTAGTTTGACCCACATTTGATCCGCTTTTATAATTCAAAAGATCTTTTACATTGTCTGGAAGGTTCTGAAAGGCTTCACGGGAAGAGGGGTGCTCCCAGCTCTTACCACCTTTCCCAGCCCATGCTAAGAGTCACAGCTTATCTGAGTGTGGTGACGCATGCATGTAATCCCAGTTACTCAGGAGACTGAGTCAGGAGGATCACAAGTTCAAGACTGGCCCAGGCAAGTTAGCAAGACCCTGTCTCAAAGTAAAATAAAAATTAAAGAGGGTGTGTAGCTCAGTGTAGAGCACCTGCTTGGCTTGTTGGAGGCCCTGGGTTGGTTCCCAGAAAGAAAATAAAAGAGTCAGTTTAGTCATAGCAACATTGTTTACCATCATGAAGAGGTGGAAACAAACTGGGTGTCATCGACACATGATAAACAAAACGTGATGTAGCTGATACTGTGCCACTTGGGAGGCTGAGCCCAGGAGTTCTAGGTCAACCTGGATGGCACAGTGAAACCCCATCTCAAAATAATAACAATGACGACAATGAAATCTAGTCCTCTGATGGAATGTTAATTTGGCCATAAAAAGACACACGCAAAAAAAAAAAAAAAAAGACTCATGCAATAGAAGGGACAGTTTGTGTGTGGGAGGGGGTACTGGGGATTGAACCCAGGGTTGCTCAAACACTGATCCACATCCCTTTTTTAAAATATTTTTTAAAAAATATATAATAAGTCCTTTTAAAAACTATTTTATTGGGAGAGGGTCTCTCTGAGTTGCTTTGGGCCTCACTAAGTTGCTGAGGCTGACTTAGAACTCACGACCCTCCTGCGTCAGCCTCCCGAGCTGCTGGGATTACAGATGTCCACTACTGTGCCTGGCAGCAGGGACAAATCCTGAAGACATCATGCAAGGTTAGATAAAGGACAAATATTGTTGATTCCACTGACATGAAATGTCCAGGATCAGCAAATTCAGAGAGACCGACAGCAGATCGGAGCCAGGGGAGGGGACCATCGAGGTTATTGCTTAAGGGGTGCAGAGTTTCTGTTGGGAGTGATGAAAAGGTTTTGGAAACAGACAGTGGTGACGGTTGCTCAACAGTGTGAATGCTGTTAACACTACTGAATTGTGTACCTAAGACCGAAGTGGCTGGCAGGGTAGCTCAGAGACAGAGCGTGCTAGCATGTGCAAGGCCTGGGATCCATCTCAAGCACAAACACACAAAAAAAGGGAAAGAAAGAGGTTGAAATGATAATGTCAACGTTACATAGGTTTTATGATAATTACAGTAATAATAAAAGTCATGTTTGAAGGTTTCTTTCTGGCACACTGATGTCCCTTCTGGTCACTGGGGTGCCTGAGCCTCTCCCCATCCACACAGTCGCTAGGACCTCTCTTCAGCCTCCTGCCTTCTTCAACACCATCTTTCCTTTTGTGGTAATGGGGATGGAACCCAGGGCCGCATGCACACTAGGCACGAGCTAGATCCCCAGCCCTCTTTCTTTTTCTTTTTTCTTTTCCTTTTCTTTTCTTGAGACAGGGTCCAGCTAAGTTTCCCAGAGTGGCCTTAAACTTGCCATCCTCCTGCTTCAGCCTCAGGAGTCCTGGGATTCCAGGCATGGTCACCGTGCCCGGCTCTTAAACACCATCTTGATGCTGACCATGGCCTCCTTCCTCTCTCAGCGGACACCGCCCCAGCTCCAGGACCCCCCAGGGTCGGTGTAATGGCTGGCTGGTGCCCATGGCCTCCCCTAAACTTGCTCCCTACAGTGAAAAGCAAGTCTGGCCTTTAGCCCAGAAGCCCAGAATCTTCCTTGACCCTTCCTCTCACAGCCCATCCCTATGTAAATTCTCAGCTCTGCAGGTACCTCCTCCGCCTGTTGTCCCCCATCAGATGACACTGCAGCCTCTCTGCTGGGCTGTATTCCTTGCCCCCTCTTTTAAATCAGCTCTCTCCAGGCCTCAGTTCAGCCCTCTAGTGGCTCCCAGGCCACCTGCATGTCAAAACTAGGGTCCTCTCACTGACTGTAGGCCCCAGGTGATCTCCCCTGTCACCACCTCTTGCCGCCTTCATACAGAGCCCCCTCCCTCGACTCAACAAATCTCACGGAGTCCCCCCTCTCTGCTTCCAGCCAGAGAAAACTCTATAAAGGGTTCCCTTATTCAGGCCAGGCCACCTGGGGGATTACCCAGGGACTTGAGTTATCTCTTCAAAATCCCCTCACATTAGGACCCAGTTCAGCATATGATTGAAAATCAGGGAACAGGAATCTTGGCTTGGCAGGGGTGGGGGCATATCTAGAGTCCTGCCCGTCAAACATGACCAGGACAGAGGTGCAGAATCAGGCTTCAACTTTTTCATTACACCATAAATCTCTCCTCTGGACTAGCCAGTCCTACCTGCAGAACTAGGCCCAGGTGGACGCAGAGAGGAAAACAGACCCTCCCTCCAGTGGCTTAGCCACCAGCCCTACAAACCCAGGCAGCAAGGAACTGTGGGCAGTGGCCGCCCTAGCAGCTAGCAATGGACAGGGCTGCCAGGACCAGGGTCTTCAGGTGTGCTCGGGCAGGCAGGCCAGGTGCTCAGAAAGCTGGGAGCAACCGCCTTGAGTTTGAGGTGGGAAGAGGGGAGGCGTCAGGGATGGGGAGAGTTTAAACACACCCCATCAAGTCCTGGGGCTTCTGTAGGAAGACAGAGTCACCAGACGGTACACCTTGAAGTCCAGGGCTCCTGACTTCAGAAATGTGGTTGGCCGGGCTCACCCTGCTTGTTCGTCTGTGTGGGCCAACAGGTTGTGCAATCTCCTCTGGGGACGCTGGAGGTGGGAGAAGGGGGAAGGGGCCCTCATGGGCTGGATGCTCTCTGTGGTCAAAGTACCTGGGGAGGGAGAGGAAAGGCAGCAATCAGGGCAGCGACTGGGCGCGGCTTACATCCCACTCACCTTCAAACAGGGAAGTGAGAAAGGTGGCCCACGTTTCTCCCCAAAAAGGAAAGTCCCTCTTCTGTTCTAGTTTTAAAACACACATTCATGGCCTGTGATTTACGTCAGAGTTGACCTCAGAAAATTATTTAGAGGTCCTCCATTTTAGAGACCCCCAAGTCTTCACCCCCTTCACAGTTGTCAAAGGAGGAGACTCTTGAGCCCTCTCTTGGGGTGAGAGGAAGGAGAGAACCTTCTCTTGGAACTGCCTGCTACAATTATGGGGCTTTTCTGGGTCTGGGCCTCCAGTTCTCAGACAGTTGGGGTGCAAGGGAGATGGTCGCCATGTGGCAGGACACTGGACGTGGGCCCTCTGGATGCTGGACATGGAGCAACAGACAACTGCCAGGTGGCTTGGCACAGCCACCAGAGAAACAACTCAGGGTCACAAGAGGACCAGCAGCCCCTGGGGTGGGAGAAGCGGAGCCCCAGCATCTCTGCTGAGACTCCCAGAGTTGAGGATGCATGGCTCCCCTTGGTGGAGGCCCCTCAGGAGGCTCAAGATCACTCAGCAACATGGGAAGGGAGATCCTCACCTCCTGACTGGGATATCAGTGAGCTCAGACGGTAGGAAACTTGCTTCAATCCCAACAGTCAGAGGCTGTATTGTGGCATCTCTCCCATTCTTTCCCCTAGTAATGAGAAGTGTGAAAATTCTTGGCATGCTGTTTTCCAGCATAAAGAAAACAAGCAAACTCCCGATCCAAACTGCCTGTAAGGTAGCCAACAGCTCACCCAGGGAGGCGGGCAGAGAGCTGCGGCTTCAGAACAGCAGGAACTGGGTAGTCAACTCCATCTGCACACAAGCAGGCTGCCCGAAGACCTCTCCTGTCCCTTTGCTGTCCTCCCCTCCCCTCCCCCAAATACCCAAAGGATTAAATGACCACGGTCTGTGCAGGAAGTCCTTTCCAGGCCCTTGCCGGGCCACATGCTGAAGCCCAGAGTTGGTTGCAAAATCCAAGTTCAAAACTATTCACACCAGTGAAAATCTGAGAGGCTTCAACGACAGAACTCTCAGCCAGGTTCTATCTGTGGGCCAGGGTCTCCTCAGAAGGCGGTCAGGGACTTCCAAACAATCAGAAGTGACTTGGACAGAAAACAGCTGCTCTTGCCTGTCTGCAGAGCAAATTCCATAAATATGTTTGCTGAGAACTGCTTTTAGTAACTTTTTTTAATGATTAAAAAAAAAAAAAGAGTACATGCTCATAAGCATTGCTTATAATAGCCAAAACCTGAAAACAGCCCAAATATCCAAAAACAACAGAACGGATAAGTATATTATGTATACAACGCAATACTACACAGCAATGAAAACAAATGAACTACAGCTAAGAGTAAAAACATGGGGGGGCTGGGGCTGGGGCTGGGCTCAGCGGTAGAGTGTTCACCTAGCACATGCCGGGCGCTGGGCTGCCTCCTCAGCACCACATAAAAATAAAATAAAGGTATTGTGTCCAACTACAACTAAAACAAAATATTTTTTTTTTTAAAAAAAAAAGCATGAGTGACTCTCAGAATAACGTGGAACACAAAAAGAGAAAACATGGCTAGGGTATGACTCAGGGGTAGAGCACTTGCCTAGCATGCATGAGGCCCTGGGTTCTATCCCCAGCAGCACGTTTGCACCCCCCCCCCACCACACACACACACACACTCAAAAGACACAAAAGTATAGAGTATGATCCACTTGAATAAAGCTCAATGACGGGCAAACTGCATACGTGGGTGGGTAACAAAAAAGGCGAGGAAATGGCTAAGGTGGAAGCAAGGGACTTGGGGCAAGCTCTGCCGAGCTGGTCATGATGGCTCTTCCTCTGGATGGATATTTGATTATTAAACTGCATATTTATATTTTAGGCACTTGTCAGTATGCATTTCTTCTTTTTTTTTGGGGGGGGGGGTGGGGGAGGCATGTGAAAAGATGCTCAACTTCATTGTACCAGGGATTGAACTCAGGGGCACTCGACCCCTGAGCCCCATCCCCAGCCCTGTTTTGTATTTTACTTAGAGACAGGGTCTCACTGAGTACCTTAATGCCTCGCTTTTGCTGAGGCTGACTTTAAACTCGATACTGTCTCAGCCTCCCAAGCCGCTGGGATTACAGGTGTGCACCACCACACCTGGCTCGGTATGCATATTTCATAGAACAATGACTTTAAAAGTTAGATACACAAAGATAACCTTTGCCGTCTATGACTCAAGTGCAAAATCAAATGTAATATACACCCCAAATTATAAAACATCATTGACAAGAGTTAAAGAAGTCCTAAATGAATGAGATGAAAAGATAGCACAGGCCATGGATAAGCTAGCCTTATACAAATTCAAAGAAAGCATCCCCGAATTTCCAGCTCTCCTTTTTCTTCTTTTTTCCCAATACTAGGGACTGAACCCAGGGGTGCTTTACCTCTAAGCTACATCTCCAGCCCTTTTTATTTTATTTTGAAACAGGATCTCTCCAAATTGCTGAGCCTGGCCTTGAACTCACCATCCTCCTGCCTCAGCTTTCTAGACTGCTAGGATTACAGGTGTGCACCACTGTGACCAGCCCAGGCAGGTTTTTTTCTAATAATAATAAAAAAAAGAATCTGCAAATAGGTATGGAATTGCACATTACTTCACATAGCCAAAACAATATTGAAAAAGGGGGGGGGGTGCTGGGAATCAAAACCAGGACAGCTTGGAGGCTAAGCAAGTTCTCTTTCTCAGACCTTCAACCCTAGTCCTACCTTTGTTCTTTGAGCCACATTATCAAGAAAGTGAAAAAAAAAAAGTGCACAGTATGGGAGAAAATATTTGCAATCAAATATCTGACAAGGGTCTAATACCCAGGATATACAAAGAACTCTTAAAAACAACAAAAAGGCAAACGAATTTAAAAATAAGCAAGATACCTGAATACCTGAATAGACATTTCTTCAAAGTTGATACACAAATGCCCCGCAAGCATGCAAAAAGATGCTCAACTTCATTGTTCATTAGAGGAATGCAAATCAAATCAAAATCACAATTGAGTTGGGTAAAGTGGTACTCTTCTGTCATCCCAGCAACCTGGGAGGCTGAGGCAAGAGGATCAAAAATTCAAGGCTAGTCTGGGCAACTTAGTGAGACCCCTTTCAAAAATAAAAATATAGGGTTGGGTTGTGGCTCAGCAGTAGTGCACTTGCCTAGCATGCGTGAGGCACTCACTGGGTTCGATTCTCAGCACCACATACAAATAAGTGAAAAAATAAAAGTCCATCAACAATTAAAATAATAATAATAAAAATATAAAAGGACAGGAGTGTAGCTCCGTGGTAGAAGTTCCCTAAGTTAAATCCTTAGCACCTGGAACAAACACACACAATGAGATACCACTTCACACCCATTAGGACAGCCCAAAGCACCAAACAAAAAGTGTTGTAAGAAATTGGAAACCTAAAATATTGCTAGTGGAATGTAAAATGGCACAGACACTTTGGAAAATAATCTGGCAGCTCCTCATAGGTTTAATAGAGAGTTACTTTAAGACCTAGCAACTCCACTTCTGGGTAAGTGCCCAAGAGACTTGAAAACAGGTCCAACAAAAATTTGTACCTGGGTTACATTATTCATAATAGCCAAAAAGTGTTAGCAACTCAGATGTTCATAGCTGCTGAGCAGATAAGTAAAATGTGATATATCTGTACCATGGAATATTATCCATCCATAAGAAGAAATGAAATACTGATATATGCTATAACTTGGATGAACCTAAACAACACTAAGAGGGAGAAGCTCCACACTAAAGGCTACATATTATATGATTCTATTTATATGAAATGTTCAAAATAGGCAAATCCATACATTTTGCAAATTAGATCAGAGTGATGGTTGCACACTTGTGAATATACCCCAAACCAATAAAATGTAGTGTTAGAGGGCCAGTTTTACAGTATGTGAATTATATCGCAATTAAAAATATAAAAATTTCGAACAAGGTTTAAAAAACCTATACATTGGGAATTAACATTTCATTTTTAAACAACCACACTGAATGACCTATATTGGTTAAAGACACTCGATCCACCGAGGCCCCACCACTTGTGAGCGCTGGAAAACCACCACGGCTTCAGGAATGTGGCTCACACTCCGGAGCTGTTTTTGTCACCAGTGGAAAGAATGTCTCCATCACCCCCTCCCCACCACCCACATTGCTGGCTGAAAGGGAGAAAGTAATATTAGCCCTAAAAATGCCACTCCTCCCCCCAGGGGACGGGACGTTCCAACCATCTGGCAAGAGCAGGGGTAACCCTAGGCGGAGCGGGGCGGCGGGGGTCCGGGGGGTGGGGCCCACGGGGGAGAGGTGTAGGGGTGCAGGGGCGTGGCCTACGATTGGGCAAGGTGAGGAGTGGGCTGTGGGCGTGGCCTGGGGCGGGGGCGAGAGGTTGTGGGGGCGGGGCGCCGGGGCAGGCCGTGGAGCGTGGGCGAGGCGGTGGGCGGGGCATCGGGGCGGGGCAATGCACGGGGCGGGGCCACAGGTGGAGCTGCGGGGGCGCGGGGGCGTGGTCGGGGCGGGACGCGGGACTGCGGACCGATGGGCCGGGCCGGGCGGGGCGGGCGCCCGGACGCGAGCCGCGGGCACTTTGGTGTCTAGACGGCGGCGGCCGCCGCCCGCGCTGCCCAGCCTGGACCTCGCGGCGTCCCTGCTCCCGCGGCCCCCTGGCCGCCTGCCCCGAGCCCTAGCCGGCCATGCCGCTGCCCGCACCGCCCACCGAACTCCTGCCGTCGGAGCGCGCCGTGGTGCTGCTGTCGTGCGCGCTGTCAGCGCTGGGCTCCGGCCTGTTGGTGGCCACGCACGCCCTCTGGCCCGACCTGCGCAGCCGGGCGCGGCGTCTGCTGCTCTTTCTGTCGCTGGCCGACTTGCTCTCGGCCGCCTCCTACTTCTACGGGGTGCTGCAGGACTTCTCGGGCCCCTCGTGGGACTGCGTGCTACAAGGAGCGGTCTCCTCCTTCGCCAACACTAGCTCCTTCTTCTGGACGGTGGCCATCGCCCTCTACCTATACCTCAGCATCGTCCACGCCGCGCGGGGGCCGCGGACCGACCGCCTACTCTGGGCCTTCCACGCTGTCAGGTGCGTGTGGCATTGCTGCTTCGGGGGGGGGGGGAGCACTCAGTCCCACCTTCTGCCGGGTCCTGCCTGCTTTCCTTCGCGCCCCCTCCCGCAGGCCGCGTCTTGGTCAGGCGCCCAGTAGGCAGTTGTGCCCCTCAGCATCCCTGGGCCCACAGGAGGGTGCCCAGGTTGCAGGAGCTGTAGATCAAGCCTGTGCATCCCTGCAGAGGGCGTCCCTTGTGCCTGCCCCAGCTGGAGCCTCTTAGCAAGATGGGGAACAGATCTCACCCTCAGGGCCCAGATCTGAGCACTTAATAGGCACTGGGGCAACACTTTGTGCGCTTTGACTCCTGCTTCACTGTGTTCTGGCCATTCTTGCTGCCCATGGGGAAACGCTGCCCATGGGGAAACGCTCCCCATCCCCAGGATGTGGCTGTGGTGCTGGGAGCCAGGCAACTGCCACCTCCATGCTATGGTGGGTGTGGTGCATTCAGCCTCTCCCAGGCCACAGTGTCCCAGCCGTAAAACTTGCAGAGGGACCTACCATCTTTTCATCTTTTTAGTTTTGTCTTTGGTCATTTCTGAACTTCAGGGCCCAGCCGCCATTCTGGGTGATCTTGACTTTCCAGAATTCAGGAGCTCTAAGACAGGTCAATAACAACCCATTGAGTGTAAGAAAGCTGACAGCTGACAGC